TTTTTTCCCCTTCCTCATCGGGCTAAGTGCACGGACGCGTACGTGTAAGGGGATTTTTTTATTTTTTTTTTTTTATTTCATCTACTCCAAGCCGCAGGTGTTCTTTTAATAGATGCCCCGGTGGAAATTGTGCTGGTACTGCGCGATAGCCAAGTCCGTGACTACCGATTTTTCGTGGGGGTTGAAGAGGGTACAAAGTTTTCAACGATTTTAAATACATGAATCCATTTGAAGAGATTTTATGGTAAAATACTGAATAGTTCACAATTTTTCCACAATAATTAGGGGAGTTTTGTTGAAAAAAGAAAAAATGATGTAAGAATATGTACTTGGTGCTGATTTGATTATTCCAATAAAATCTAATGGTAATCGGGCACCCCTGGCTATGTAGTAAAAGTCTGAATATTCTCATTTTCTTAAATTGCAAATATCCCTGAAAACGCAGCAACTCCCTTCAATCCCCGCAACAGCTCGACCCAGTGACGCGTGCACAGAGTCAAGTTTGTTCGGCTCAAATCTCGAGGGCCGCCACTCTGCATATCAAAGCGCCTAAGGGCTCGCCGCTACTCTGCCTCGTGTATACGCAAGCACCGGTCGTTATTACAAGTTCTTCGACTGTTTATGGCGCATAGCGTGTGTGCTCTGCCTACATGATTAAATGCATACGCGTACTTGCGCGTCGTACCTGCAACAAATAGTCGAGCGAAGTGTGTGTGTGTCCGATAAACAAAGGGCGGGGGAGGGTTGGGCAAAAAAAAAGGGTCACGCCGTGCAATTAGCTTCGCTTGAGGTCGCTTTATCGGCATAATGGTTTAATCGACGCTGTTCCCGGTGTTTGTCGTATGCGCTGCGGGCCGCAACCCCCTTTTCAGTGCCTATTATTATTATTATTATTATTATTATTACATGTGCTGCAAAAAATGCATCTCGTGCATGCGAACGGGCTCCGTTTGTGTGTTCGTGTCATTTCAATCAAGTGTAATGATTGTGTGCGAATGAATACATAAAATAGTCCGGCAAGTGCATACATTTACGAATTAACTTTGGATTAAAAAAAAAAAAAAAAAAAAAAAAAACGTATACTGATCCCATTACGAAACTGCTCTCCCGAGGTGATAACTCAACCTCCCTTACACTCGTGGACGTAACGAAAGCATAAATACGCCCAACACGCGCGGTTTCGGTAATTATCCTGTCACGTTATAGGGATTAAAACAGTGCGCGCCTAGTGGCATTACCAACAACAAACACACACACACACACACCGAATGGTCGTCCTTTCACGTGAAAGGGAGATACTTGCATTATTAACTGTCTTACGGCGCCCGGGTGGTCCTCTTTGCCCGTGAAAGCCCCGAGCTTATTCGACTCTAGATATACGCACAAACGCGCCCATCACAAAGCATCGTCGAACAAAGGCAAACGAGTGAGCGTGTCTGCACTGCAAACAGATTTACCAATTTTCCGACGCGGCAAATCAGTATATGGTCGTTGCGCGGAAACGGAGCGACAGGCCAGCTTTAGTTGTTGAGCTTTGTAAATTTACGATTATATGGGCACCGACGCGGAGGGTGGGATCGGGGGGCAAAGGGCATACCTTATTTGACGTTTTCAAGACGAAATCGGACGAAAAGCTTTTTTACAAATTCCATGAGATCGTGCATTTTGTGTTTATTTCCACGACTGGATGCCGATGTCCTCTTCTGTCGGCATTACATTTGGGTTTTCCTCTATTGGTGGTGCAGGTGTCGGGAAAACCTCTCGACGAAAGAAACGAAAAGAAGAGGCTGAGCGAAAAGAAACTCAAGCGTTTGTCCAAAGATCGGAGAAAACCGATTAAACTTTTGCGAAACCTTTTCTTTTCTTTTTCATCCTTCTTTCTCCCTGTACACGCACGTACACGTACAGCTCTCAACACGGATGTCGCGCTCTCGTGACTATCCTCCCCCCGCGTTTCGAGGACTCGAGTTGCATTAGCACCAGCTATCGGAGGGGGAGAGCTTATATCGCGCATACCACGCGTGTATACGGGGGTATTACAGGTAGTGCCGGTTCGCACTGCGGTGTGCGATTTCATACATCTTTGAGTACACGCGGCTCTGGGATCGTTAAGAGGCTCGACCCAGATACCCTCGCCAGCTGTACTGCTTGATGAGCCTTGCGTACACTTTATACCTTTTTTCCTCTTTCTCTCTCTCTCTCTCTCTCTTTCTTGCGCCACTATTCGACTTGGAGGGACTTTTTGCATACTGCTTGTGAGGAGCAATTTCAGTACAGAAAATTTTTGGATGGAATGATGAAAGGGTGAAATCAAACCTTTTATCCATAAACATTGTCGATACAATCCCATGAAATTATTGCGGAATAGTATAATTAAAGTTTGCTATGAGTGAATGCATGTTTTAATCATGATTTTAATTTTAGGGGTGATTTTTTAATTGAAAGTGTGACATGGCCAGACTGGCAATACTAAATTTCGTCATTTCTGCCCTTTAAATATGATTATTATCAGTTTGTGGGTTGACTCGAATATTGTATCAACAATGAAACCATACCAAATGACTTTAAATCATTGTGCAGTATTGGAGAAAAATTCATAAAGGCAGTGAAAGAAACAGTTTTGAAATTTGAGTTTAAAAGTACTTTGAGCTTTCACGTGTAAGTATAAGAATGAATAGTGGCTTTCAAGTACAATTGAACAGGTGCACCACAAAGCATCACGAGAAAAGGTTTTTTCCAAGAAAATATAATGGCCCTTCACTGCCAACAGGTGGAAGCCCCTTAACGCCGGTTACGTTACTAACCAGTTTTCCACCGTGCAAAGGACGGACAATAAATTTAAATTCAACGAATGACAGTCCACGCTAAAGCCCACCCGCGGCACAAAAGCTCCGAACAGCCAACGAGATCAGCAAGCCCGAGCTGAACGTATACACGTGTATATGATATACGTGAGCCAGCCTGGCTCTCCAAAACCGGCGCTCTAATGTATTCCCCGAGTCCCACACCTGTAAGTGTATCAGCATCGAAATTACATAGAGGTGGATTTCCCTCCCTCTCGCCTTTCGTCCCGAGTAACGAGATATCGTTTTAGCCTCCTGCTCCCCTGCCTCCCTCGCGGTTCGTTTAATTGTACGCGCTAACCCACGAACGACGTGTGCGCCTCTTACTTGAGCATAGAAATATCAGTTTCTGTCCGCATTTACATTATTTCCCGCCTAATGGATGTCGAATATCAGGTTTCGGTCTTTACGCGACACGGTGTACAAATCTACGTGTATGGGTACTTCCATTGTTCCCGATATTCGGTTGTGCAATAATTTTTTTCTTTCAGTTTTACACGTGTTCTTTCACGGCCTTTGACAGGAGGCAACTAGTTTATATTAATTAGATCTGGATTTTCCTTAAGGCCACGTAAAAGTCATTATTTTATTAAAAGTGGCCAAAATTTAAGATGTTCCTCATCTCGTGAAATTTCATGTCAATATTATCTAAATGGGGATTCATTAAAAATTTAGTGCTAAACTCAGTTTTGAAAAAAAGAAAAAATATTTCACAGACATAGAAACGATTGTACACTTTTGAATGTAAGAGAAAGAAAAAATCGTGCACACTAAAAGTCAGACCTAGAAACGCGTGGGTCCGCAGTTTTTGAATTTGTAAAACATTTTTATCACTCGTGCACGTTTAATTGCGAGTTTGATTCATAGTTAATCTCGTTCCCTTGAACGGCTTTATAACTTTTCTTGATCTCAAATTTCTGCTTCTAAGTAGCTGTATTTTCTCTTATTTTTTTTTTTTATGGGTATAAAGTTGTAAGCGGTGGTAATTCTCTACGTTCCACTGTGTAGTGCAACAGAAGAGGAGTTTGTCGAAAACTCGTGGCTTACTGTTGCTAAACCAGCTTTTTTGTGACTAGTCGCTTCGACAAGTCATCCGTATTTATGGAAATTAATACGTTGTTTGATCTGATTACTAAACATTCAAAGTGTCAATTTATTGTTGGATCATCCTCGAGAAGATAATTTAAGTGAATGACTCAAATGTTTTAAACTGAAATTCATATATATTTGTAAAAAATGGGGTTGAAAACAATTACATTACAGATTTTTAAATACTTTGAAACAAAATTGTTTAGTTTAAGTGCGATTTATTATTTTTGTTAAAACATTTTCGTTTTCCATTACCACTTGTGATGCAGTACTAGACCGATACAAATAAAAAATTTTCTCAAACACTTTTTCTTTTTTAAAGTGCAATACGTTTTATTTTCTAAAAAATACTGTTATTGATCCACTATTACTTGATTTTAAGTTGTTCATCCACAATCACGTATTTCTTAGTCATCCCTTGTTCAGTTGCTTAAATAGCCACCAGGAAAGAGAAAAAGAAAACAACAAAAAAACGAAACAAAATGCCATAGTTAAGCTCCTTTGAATTCAAATAGCTCTCCCCCAACTTATTTGCAAACCCAATTACTTTCACGAGCCCCGGCAGCAACAGAGACACTTGATCCCAAAACAGCGTCTAACTGCAGCACCGGTAATTAGCCCCGAAGATTTTCCTAATTTGCTCGCGCAAGAAAACAAGTCCCTCGGGTAGGTGAAAAAAGAAGAGCGTAAAAAAAAGCAATCGCCCTCCCCCACCCCTCGCTCGGGGAACAAAGTGCGTTGGCACTGAGCACCGGAAGTATAGATAGGTATCGAGAGAGTCCGCAATGCAAAGTCCTCCGGGACCCGAGGTGATGGGTATAGACGGCGGAAACTGCCTCAGATGAGCCAAACTTGCTCGCATAATACTCCTTGGGATGGCAAGGGGGGGGGGGGATTTTCGCTAATTAATAATTAAGAGAAAACTTGAATTAGAGACGCTAAGGTTGCAGTAGTCGTCCTCGGGAATATACTCGCGGGGGAAGTGAACTTCTTCGTTGGAGCTGCAAACTTGCGGGTGTACAAGTTCTCGGGAAATATATTTGATGGGTTAACGGATGTTGTACTCACTTTTTCCGTGAGTACTGCAGAAAATGTGGTTTTTATGGTCTCTTCTTGTTTGTTACTTCCTGAAACAAAAACATAAATGTTTTATTGAAATAAAATGTATGAAAAGCGTAACATTTCCTACATACATTTTGAAATATTTTTTGCACTGAAATGAATTATTATATTTATAACTCGTCGATGGACAACAGATGCCAATCGAGGTGGTAATAACATATTTGTTAAAATTATGCAATAGTTGCCTATACTTAATTGGTTTTTCTTTAGATGAAAAATAATGCATCATAAAAATAATGATTGAAAAAAACATAATTAGCAATGGTAGTGTGGCGAGGGCCAGTGGCTAACTTCTTGTGCGTCATCTCCTTTGCACGTTATTCTTAATCCAGCACTACAAGAAGCACTTGGGTAATTTAAGCGCTGGTTGAGGAATACCATTTACCATACGACTCGTTTTTAATTTAGATTAACTTTTCAAATCGATGAGAAGACAAAGACCATTTTTTTAAATTTCTTCAAAATGATTTGGTAAGCTTGGAATAAATAATGTACCAATGTGGTTATAATCATATTTTAGTTTATTCTTTCAGCTACAGACTTTAAGACCCTCAATAAATAAAAACACCACACTGAAAGCGTGCGATTGAAGTCTATATGCTTGTGAAATTAATTATATGACAGCAGTACAGTCAAGTGCCTTAGTAACAGTCAAATCAGTGATGCATCAATTATTTTGGGAACTCTACCCAACTGAGCGATATTAAAAAAAAAAAATGGATTCAATAAGGCTAGATAGTGAAAATCATAATGACAGAAAGTGCGGATATGATTATTACCAAAGTGTGCGTGGGTGCAGAAATTCAAGAAGGAAACTCGGATAAACGGTGAAAACAACAAAATTTTCAGAGCAGTTCACTAAATGCACTTTTCAGTTCTCCGATAGTCCCGCAATCCAAGCCTCCACCCTTCCACCCCAAGCGTGCCACGCTTTTTGGCCCAGCAAGTAGAAAACAAAATAAAGAGAGATCGCGAAAGGTTGCAAAAATCGTCCAAGTCCCTGATACGCACATGTTCATCACTGAATGGCGTAGGGGATGAAAAACAAATTACTCCGATTCGGCACCCAAACCCCCCCGAGCCCGGGAGGGATCCACGGAGCGAATGTCGCGAGCTTGCGGCCGGCGTACACGTGAATAATTGCGCTCGGGTCGTAAAGCAAACGCAAACGAGGGGCGGGCGTCGGTATCGCGGTTATGGCTGTAAAGTTTTCCAAATTAATAAATGATAAGGCACCACTTCGGCAAAGGGCGCACGCGCGCCGCATAATAAATGCGGGGGAATAAAAAGGGCCGATGGCCATGCCACGGGGTGGGAGTAATTAAATTTGTACGGTTTCGGGCCGGGGAAAGTTACATGTGCCAGCGTCGTGTTTTACTCGAGCGCAGCTCTCTCCGAACTGCATTAGCTTCTCAGAAAGAGGAGTGGCGCTGAGGAGTTGGTGGTGATATGACGTAGTATGACGTTTATATTGCTAATCGAATGAGCTAACCGTACACCCGAGCTCTGCACGAGGAAAGTATCGTTAAGCTCCTCGTTTTGCTCCAGTGAATATTTACGTAGTGCTAGCCGAGGGATACAATGGTTTTTTTTTTTTTTTTTTTTCCCTCTTTTGGAGTTGATCAGTGAGTTGGTAAATCTGTTGTACGTCCTCTGATAGTATGGCTCATCAAGGTACGGTTTAACACCCCCCCCAAGTGATTTTACCACAGTGACGATTGTTGATGATCGTCACTGGTGAATTCATCAAAATATCCCGAGTATATGACTATAAATACACGAATATTCCGTGAAGGAAAAATTGTGAGCTCAACGGAAGCCCCGAGCCGCCATTATCGCGGCGTTTCAGTGCTGGAAACTACTGGGGGCACCTGGTGGGTGGCCAAGACCCGCGTCCTCCTCATAGCTACATCGGAGGAAGACGCGGAAGGGGTGCGGGCGAAGAACGGGGAAAGTGGACCAGCCGTGGGTGGCTGTAGGCCGAAACGCCACCAGGTAAGTTTCCGCAAAGTCGTGTCGTGGAAAAACAAAAACAACGACGGCTCGAGTCTTGGGGTGGTTGGTACCGACTGAGTTTGCGGGAACAGAGGGTGGGTGGGGGGAGAAAGAGTTCGATAGCGACCCACATTCTGGGCTTTTTTTCCGAAAGAGAAGAGGGAGAGAGGGAAATTCTCGGAGGGGGAGGCCAGTTTGCGAGCTTGCGCCGCAAGAGAGAAACAGAGCCTGGCCCCGCCCGCCCGCCAATCGACATTTCGCCCCGTCCCGCGCCAATATCGCGCTTCCTGGTCTCGGACGCGGCGCAGCCTCCCGGCCTTGCTGCTGGCCAATCGTGTCGGCCGAATTTTCGTGCCCTCTCTCTCTCTCTCTCTTCCAAGAGAGAGAGAAATGGACGAGCCGAGGAGAGAGGGCTTGGGGAGGCGAGGAGTACTTTTTAAGAGACAGAGAGGGTTTTCATCAGTGCGGCTCGAGCGTCTCGGGTCGTGCTGTGGCTTTGCTTCGAATGGAAGGGAATGGGTGCGATATTTTGGGTCGAGGATGGATTTGGAAGGGATTTTGGTAGAGATTCTTTCGATGCACGTTTCGAGGCTCTTGGGCATGGGATTGCATTTGGTTCTAATAGTCTTCGGATACGTTGCGTTTGAAGGGGGTGGTTTTCATGGTTTATGCGGCTTATGTTGGGCACTGCATGGAAAATAAATATGTACTTTTGTTCCAAACTTTAATTTTAATTTGCCGGAAAATGTCTTTCATTTCTCCTTCGGATACTATCTTCCATTAACTTTCTTAATCAACAAGAAAATCAAAAGCTTTGGCAAGATAAAAACTGACTGTTTAAAGTAATTCGTAATCCTTTATTATATAGAAAGATGTAACTTCGTACGTGAAATGTATAGCATGATAGGAGAAATTTTTCAAAAATTTTTACTTAATTATTTAATTTTGTACATAAAAATAATTCAATCACTGGTTTTATCTGTATACCATTATGGAACGTTTCTTTCAATAACCCAATTTTACTATTTGAAAGGTGTATGAATTTGTTTTTGTATATGAATAAGGACTATTGTAATATAAAACGATTAGTGGAGTACAAGAAAAATATTTCTTTTGAAAAGTTAAAAAAACAAGACTCCTGGGTTCAAATTTCTTGATCTGTTTCATTTGTATATTTTAGAATGGATTTTACGGGTATTTACATAAATACATTTGCATAGTGTCATTGTCTCGTGCCTATTTCTATACAATTACATAGCTCACTCTCTACCAAGTGATCTAAGCCAGTCAACTGAAGATTGCTATACTTTGCTTGCCTTATAATAACAATATATTATGGCCCTAAAATTTTTTTTTTTTAATTTGAGAATTTTTATCAGATTTCTTTCGATGACTTTTCTTAACTGCACGCAAATGCAACATGTTAACTTAAAAATGAAAAAGTTTAATGAAGAAAAATCGTATTGTTTACTTTTGAGCTATACTAAATCATAGTTTTGCTAGTCAATCTTCCTTTAACGATAAAAAATCACAGACAGCGAATCATATTTGATTTCGAAGCTAAACACTCACATACACGGACGATTGTCAAAATTGATGACCTTTGATTTCAATAATCATTAGTTTTTCGATCCCCATCGACGAAGTTCCGATGAAATGCATTTAGACAGAGCGACCAAACACATACGTGTCAAATTTCCACCCACACTCGCATCCTCAAAATCGCCCTCGCCAATAGCAAGGCGCAAAATCACTTGTCCCCCACGCAATGTTCTCGCAGCACCTCCGCTCATCAATGATTACGAGCACCAGAGCGAGCGCGTGCGAGAAAACCCCGCAATCGATACACACCCCCGACCCTCCTAACCCACTTTGCCGGAAAGAACGAATTGCTCAAAGAATCCCGGCTGTCTCCTCTTATTGCATACTTTATTCATCCGGTCACCCTCCCCCTGGCCGAGTGAATATTCAAGCGTTCAATTATTCGCGTCCCGATCCCAGAGACTCCCCCGGACGAAGACCAGAGAGAGAGAGATGGCCCGAGTTCGACGGCCCGTACGTGCGCGAGTGTCGCAACCCAGATTCTTTCCGGCAAAACTCTCACGTCCCGACGTCCCCTGTCCACCCCATCGGTGTACGTCGGTGATGCACCGGCCCAGCCCCACCTCTTCCCAATAATGCACGCCCGGCTCTCCCCGTGTCACTCGGACGGCTGGGGCTGAGTATAATTTACGGGGTGCCGTTGGAATCTTTATCGCGAAGCGGCGTGGAATTATCGAAGCTCGGACTGGGCGTGCAAGCTCGCTCGGGGAAGAAGGTATCCATGAGTTTTTCGCGACTTTACAGGTGGTTCTTGCAAACAAACAGTGATTTAAACGGAGGAGGAAATGAAACGGTCAAATTACGAATGAAACCAGAGTACAGGAGGTGCCAATAGTATGTAGCTCCCTTTTAAACGTTACAGAGTTTTTAATCCCCTTAAATGGGCTTTGAATAACAAAAATTTTTTTTTTCGACTCAATTGCGCGTCGTTAGAACAACCTGATGGATCGCGCAGTAGGTGAAATTGGTACGACTTGAAAAATGGATCGATCAATCGAAAGGTGTCCTCCGAACTCCCGTTGCCAATGGCCGTACATTTGAAAATTCCTCCCGACTCTCAACTCCGAGATCGCGAATTTATGATCTTGGCTCAATAATTCGCAAACGAAGCGTAAAAGCGTCACCATAACTCAGCATAGCCAGTCGTTGCTTCAATGCAAATGGGTGGAGGACAGTAGTAACGGAATGGCGAATCGTTCGTCAGAAGATTAAGAAGGAACATAGCAAGGTAATAAGCCGTAAAAAAAAAAAAAGAATAAAAAACAACAAAGGGTGTTTTACGTGCGAGGCAAGAGAGGGTCGATAATCCGAGTGTTCAGCGACAATGGTCATAAAGTGGGATCAGTCACGCTGTGCGCGTTTATACGGGCGCGAGATACGTTTGACATTTGCGCGTGTAATCCGTTAA